ATATATATTATATAAAATGAGAAATTATTTTTGACTTCAGTTGGATCATATTCACTCAAAATCAAGTGAAAAAAGACTTCCAACACACTTTACAACATATTTTGGTATCTGCTTTCACTTTCTTAAAAAAAATAATGTCAAAACTTTTTCCATTTTAAATGAGACCTGGTGATCAGAAAATTTCCTGAGCTCCAGTAAGACCTACTGGAACGCCGTGCTCCATGAGGATGTTTGGGTTCATGATGGTGACCAGCTGGTGAAGGAGGTCGGGTTGGGAGTCGAACAGCTCTGGAGCCAGTTTTTTCATTACAGCCTCTAGTTTCTCTGCTGCAGAAGCCGGGACGCCGTACCAAGTTTTGGGTTCACCCCTGGAGAAGAGAGGAACGCAAAGTTACTTTTTTTTCCCGCCCAAAATGACAAGAAAAACTAGTTTGAGTAAAACGCCTCACCAGTGCAGGAAATTAATGGAGTAGCTCCAGTGGTCCTCGATGTGCCAGCAGAACGAGGAAAAACACATCCCCACGTAGAGCCAGGGTACCTTCATGCCGGATATGTCCACGTTGATGTGCGTGAGGACGGACTGCTCCAGAACCGGCATTTTGTTCAAGTTCCAGCCCGAGTTGGCGTATTCCTGACAGGAGAGGACAGAAGTACTTCAGTGCAACACGATCAGAGGTGAGCAAATGTTTCATTTGGGGCATTTTTCAGTAACAGTCCTCGGACCTCCTCGTCTCCCAGGAGCCTCCTCTTGCCGTCCTTCACAGGAAAGCCGCTGCCCACCTCCTTGGAGCTGATGTCAGCGCCGTACTCAACGATGACGTCCTCTTCGATGCTACTGACCAGGCGCCAGAACTCCTTCTCCACCAGCTCTGTAGGTACCATCTTGAAATAAATAAATAAACAAATAAATAAATAAATAAATGTGCAACCACATTAAACCCTCGCGTCTTGTCTCAGAACTTAAAACCCCAAAACCTATCTACATACGTGAACGGGCATGTTGAAGTAGTCCGATTTGAAGTGGTCGGCCATTTCTCCGAAGCTCTGCAGGCTGTACTCCCTCACCGCCTGCTCGAAGCCAAACGCCTCTCTGGGCTTACTGCACTCCTGTAGACAAAGTTAAAAACAAATAACTTTGCACCAAATACAAATTTGAAAAAAAATTATTGAAAAAATATACTGTATATCTTGCAAATCAAACATGATTTCTCAAACTACAAGGCAAATACAAACAAGATAAGAAAATAAAGACCAAATCTAACAAAAATCTTTAAAAACAATGTCATAATTTATTACATTAAGGCACCTGAAATAAAAGTGGTTTTGATGTGTTTAGAAATTGTTATAAAACTTTAAATATTTGCACCTTTAAATTCTTTATTTTTATTTTATTAGATAAAAATCGGCAATAAAGTTAACAGAAATGGTTTAAAAAGCTTCAAAAAAGGCTGTAATTGAATTGTGCTTTTATTTTCTTAAATGTAAACCCTTCATAAAAGGTGGTACCTCGTAACAGCTGTGGGACACTGGATATTAAGTGTTATAAAACCTGCCTATAATCAGAATCAGTTTTATTGCCATTGTCAATGAACAGGATTCACAGATTAGGAATTTGCTTTGGTGTAAACGTGCAATAAGTATAAAATATAACAAAGAAAATACAAAGGATAAAGGAAAAAATATTAAATACGTATATAAAACTTATGTAAATAATAATAATAATATTACATGAACAAAAACTAAAATTTGACAAAACAATAAAAGTTGTCGACAGTTAAAGTCGTTTAATGTTTTTTTTAAATCAGGGCTTCATATGATGGTCACATAATCCACACTATTAGAAGCTGTTTGCTAATAAACACGAAATTAACTAAAACAGTATGAAGACGTCCCAAATACTAAGTAGGATCCTATTTATCATCTCCAACTGAATCAATCATATGAAGAATAAATAAAGCTTATCTGGATGTTGATATGAATGCTCTGAGACTTGTGGATTGTGAGATGTGGCCTCTAAACTTGAGTAAATTAGACTTTTGATTTTTGTTAGAACAGATTTGAAATTACAATTATTCAGCGAAGCAGTTTAAAGTGAAAACATTTACACACAAGCCTTCTCTGGGGTATGTGTAATTATCAGTACCTCTGCGACACACTTCGGGCACCGCCAGTCCCCCTTGGGCACATCCTGCAGAGGCGGGATGAGGCAGAAAGTGTGATAGCTGTCATCGCAGCCGTCACACAGCAGGAGCCGGTCCTCTTCATCGCCCCGTCCACAAACCAGACAAAGATAAAGGTCGATCTGCGGGGTCAAATAAACACTGGGATTAAAAAACCAAAAACAAAGTCCTCCTAGGTATGATAAACATCAAAACAGGATCAATTAATACTCACAAAGTTGACCTCTAGGGTCTCCTTGCGGGGTCTCATCTTGATGGCGAAGGCTTGGGCTTTGAGGAGACGCTGCTTCTTGATGAACCCATCATCTGTGTCAAAACAGAACTAAGTCTAGTTATCTGAAATATGGAATTTAAAACAACAAAAACTGCACCTACCAGCTGAAAGAATCTCCAAACCGACCATCTTAGGGCTCGTTCCGAAGATTTTGAGGCCTTTAGGCTCCTTGTTTTCCCTCTGAGGAAGTGCACAAGAAAACAATGTATCAGTCAATAGGCCTGTCGCGATAGTCAATAAATCAATTAATTGCACGATAACTTTTTTTGAGGTCGGTAAAAAAAAAGACGGCGATAAGTTTCATTTTCCTGCTTGTTTGTTTACTTCGGCTCTCTCCCTCTCTGTGCTCCCGCAACACAGGAGCTCCGCTGACCCCTCCCCTCCTGTTTTCTTAGTGTGGGAGGAGTCAACTCTCG